GAGCAAGATGCGAATACTGATTATAGCTGCGCATTGGATTTGTGCCCATCTGTATTCGGGCACAAATTAGTGTCACTGGTTGAAACAACACAGTACCATATCATGTGATATTATTTTATTAAAATTTATACCTGTGGCATTATCAGTGTTTTACTTGCCAATGTTGAGGGCGCGCTTACATTATGTTCAACCCACGAGTATCTCAGAACTGAACATAGCATGATATTACCGATTGTCCATAGTGAGGTCACTAAACGAAACGAAGTAACCAACGATTTGACGACCAAGATTTAAGTAACCTTCACTGGATGCTAGTACAATTGATACACCGTATATGCAGTAGACTTGTGCGTATATGAAATGTACTCAAGACGTCTGTCCTTTGCAGCTGAAGCAAACCCAATGACGATGAACTCAATAACAACTTATATAAACTACAAGTTGTAAACGTTTCTGCTGTGTTTAATACGCAAACATCATTGGGACATTATCCCATTGTTCGCACTTGGTGGATTTGAACATATTTAACACATCGCAGGATATTTTGATTATTAAGTAGCAATACATTAACGTTAAAAAAGTTTTCAAAAAAAATTCACTTTCCGTCACATGACTAGAGCCATTGACTAAAGGTTTAAATAATAATACACGAAATAATGTCACCATGAAAATTGTCCATAACCATATTTTTATTTTATTTTTGATATTCTGTTGATATTAATGAAAACAAGGAGGCAATTACATACTAGTACACGCTTTTATAGGTTGCACCCCCTAGCGGCGAAGTTTTTTCGTGACGTAAATAATCGTGATCGAGCGGACGGTAAATTGTATTTCGGACTTGCCTGTGCAAATGATAATTTGAAATGATAAAATACAATAACACAATATTTTTTATTTATTAACTTTATTCAGAAACGAATATTCGTAGAGCAAAATTTAAAATAACGTCACAGACTGCATAACATTGCTACATATACTAGGCAAGCTTGGAGAGCTAGCGCTCTCTATAGAGTTGAGATACAAGTCTAAAGAAGTCTACCAGTAGACTCAATAAAATTAATAAGAGCGAACATATCACGTGATTTGACGTCACTGTTATTATTGTTTATGTACATATAAGACGACTAGCACCCGGCAGTCAGAAAAAATAACATACAAAAACTTGAACTTCAAAATTTCGTTAATAAAAAACATTTATGAAATCGTACACTCAAGTTTCAGCGATCAATACTTTTTGAGAAATAGTATTTATGTATTTGACGTTATTCACATATTATTAAGTAGTCATGAATTATGCAAATGTATAAATGTACATGCACGGTTTATGGGCATGGATGTACGACTCAGGTTTATTTGAGCCGTCTGACTCAGTTAATATTAATTGAACCATTGTTTTAGACTTCTCCTGGGTCTGGTTTATTGTGCCACATCCTAACATAGGAACCGAGCAAATCGAGACAAGTTTCATGTCTTTTTTTAACAATTCGGCCATTTTAATGAGAGCGTATTTTATCATTACTTGCATGTAAGAAAAGATGTAAAAGTACTGCCTCCACGTCACTCGGATGAATAGCTACTAAATACCAATAAGCAGGTGTTATAGATTCTGCTGAATCGTTGCCGATGACATTCATTCTGTCGATAAGAGACGCCAGACTGACGGCATCCGGCGATTGATGTAATCCCGCACTGTGCAAATCGTTGATATGTTAGCTGTGCTATATGCCCCGCTACGACCCGATGTGTTCTACCTGTTGATTACGCTCTCACTGTGTATTCAAGTGTAACTATCTCATATACAGAAAATGACGTAATCTGCGGAAGGATGAGTTCTGTACTTTATGATCTAGTAATCCGTAATACGTGAAGAGAAAATGACATCTTATAACGTCATCGGTGGTAGACAAAATAGTAAAGTACGGAGAATGATGACGTATTATAACATACTCTTATGTAGGTCCATCTATCGGATTATGACATATTATGACGTAATTTGTGGCAGTATAAGTCCAGCGCCGATGAGGAAAATTATGACAAATACTACGAGTAGAATACGGTCCAGCACTGCAGCGAGGTCCGCCCATTCTCTGTACATCTGAAAAGAGTAATTAAACTTCGTTAGATTGATTGATGTGGTTCTAAAATTGATATATTTACAATTAGACCTAGTCCAAATTATTATGCACCTATGAATAGAAGCATGAAACCTAGTATAATTATCGCATATGTATTCATTTTCTAACATAGTGTCAGATGAACAGCGCCGCCTAGTGGATGATAACGCTAAATATTTAAACTTTAAATATATTGCCTAGCAACCTTCATCTCTTAACCTTACAAGTACAGCTCGCTGAAACAGTTTACTTTTGTGTTGTAACATATTTTTTTATGAAGGTAAGACCCGCTTTTCACACCTTTTGATACGAATTGTCAACAAACTAGAAGGCAACGTGGTGTGTACATATGGGTTTGCACAGTGTCACAGCGTGCGTTCAAAAGATTGTTTTCTCACCGACAACTGCAGTGTTTATTCTTACTAACTAGAAAGTTTACATTACTATTTATACTGTTTTATGATCACCATTTTTTTTTAATCTGAAAAAAACATTCATTCATAAATTAATTCGAAATCCCTATAATTCGAGACCTATAATTATGAACAGCAAAATAACTAGGGATAAAATAAAGCGTGTAGCAACTTGAAAACTGCGTCATTTTTATCAAATTACCTTCACCGTCGAGTCCACCACCGGTCTTATCGTGAATCGTATTTTTCCGTTAACCCACGTAATAACAGCCGGGATCGTACCATGCCAAAGATTGAAGTGTAATATTTCACCCAGGCCTAAACCTAAACGTACAAGCGCCTAGTATATTAAGACCAATTATGAATAAACATAAGATCTAACATCAAACCACTTTTCTATTGCTGTCATCTCAGACTGACACCAACCCATTTCCAATGCAGCAATACATTCAATTTGACAGAGTGGCAAAGAAAGTATTGTACTTTATATACATATTGTGTTTGGTGTGTTATTTATGCATTTAGGAGTTGGATTGTAGAAGATTGCGTTTTTGGAAAAAAAACTATCGAAACGAGTGATAGTAGCGACATTAGCATTTCCCATCATACACTGCGGATTATACGTTTTACTCTGTTGTCTGTGGTAAAATATTCACTTCTACATATTTGTTACTGCTATACGCTCATGAATATATCCCCCAGCTGGTACATATACAAGTGTGTGTGTGTGAGTTATACAAATAAGATATGTAAGTGGTTGTTTCCCGGCAGCACATATGCACATATATGCACATATGGAGACTGGGAAAAAGATCAAAAATGGCTACAACTGAATGTTTATCAGTATTGTCGATCTGTAATCAGTTCATCGGCACAAAATTTGAGTCCATGAATGACGTGGATCCAATCTTTAGTTAGATAACCAATAATTTCTTATATACGACGGAAACACTTGCGTAGTTGCTTATTTTGGAATTTCTAGTTCAACATCATAAACAATTGTTACCGGGAACTTACATAATAATTTTGCTGTGAAACAAGCCTTAGTCTTACGACCTAGTTGTTGTATTGTCCGGGTTTCCTAGCCGATCTCTGTCACTCATCATGCCGATGTGCACGGCCAGACCGACCCCCGACTTTCGGATTCACCCTGTTTTTTCTTAATCTAATTAAAACACGAGTAAAGCAAAGACTCAATGCGAGTCTGTGGGTCAGAATAATATAAAGGGAACATGTTAAATGATTTTTGGTACAATTAACTGGGATGTTGTGTGCATCGTCCGACATACACTATACCACAGGCTGCTGACTGTACAATCAGAAATGTACACACTTCTTGACTGCCAGTTTGTAACAATCTTTATCGTGAGGTGTGATTGAAACTGATCTTACCCCCATCTGTCCCATTACAAAAGTAAACAATTGTGTTACTACTACGGAAAGTTGCTCTGATTGGTCAATTCTAATACAGCTATTATAGGTTTGAAGCATTAGACAAGTCACGTGATATATGTCCTTTAATAAAATGCAAAAGCTGTGGTATTCGGTGGGTACCTGTATCAAGAGTTATTTGTCAATTGCCAAGCATCATCAAGTGGTTTCCGCGGCTTGGGTTGTCCTAACGACGTCGAACCATCACACGTGAGATTGCTGAATATGAACTGTGAAACCCACATTGGATGTAAAGTATATTTCAATCATATTAAAGGGCGGTAGTCGTCGCGCCACGCATGCGCGAGATATACATGTATGGGTCAAATATGAACAAAGATGGCGAACAAAGATGGCTGTTGCTCAGATCAATTAGTACAAACTGAGACGCTACCAAGATTGGAAGTTACTGAAATTGTCATCGTCGACAAATAATGCAAGTCGCACCAGGTCAACCCTCATACTTTTAATTTCCATTAGAAGGGGCATTGGATTGTGGGAAAAACATTGTTCATCAACACAAATGTCGCACTGCGCAGTGCGACGATAACCTTCCTTTAATCGGAAATGAACACCAGACTATTGGAACACTTTTGTGTGGCCATGATGTCCCTTTGCAATTTGTAGGTGCTGTTCTTATTTTGATAGGAACCCTAAAATTCACCGTAGCAACGCACAGTTTTGTGAGTTTTCTTTTATAGAGAGCCGCCACGTGTTACTGGTACGCATACGTACACTCCTTGTATAGTTGAACGAAGATAATTTATATTGCTCTGCAAATATAAGAGCAAACGAGTGAATCAACAACCACGTCTTCACGGCAGAAAAAAAAGCAGTCAACAAGTCGCCTTTTATCCCAAATATTCAGTACGTCTCTAATTACAGGAACTTCTCAAGTGCGGTATATTCAGGTACTCAAGATGACAATGCGAAGCAGAAAAGATTACGCGTACGTGTGTGAGAGGGCGAGGCAACCCAGGGTTCAACACAATTACCATGAAACAATACGTCGAGTATTCATTGAGAAATAGCGTATTGTTGTACTTAGAAATTCATTATACTTTTAAAAAGAGAACAAGACATCCCTAATGTTAAACACGGTATTTGTTATCTCATCTGCGTGACAGTGTGGAAGCTATTAAAGTAACACGCGTCTTGCACAATTTAAATTCAAATGTAAGTAAGAATCACGTCACATTAACGAATCTCTATTCACATCCACTGATTTATGGTTTTTTTAGTCTACAATTTAAGATCACTTAGCCGCATCTCACTCAATGTTCAACCAATAATGACGTCAGGACACGCGTATGTGCATGACGCCAAGCAAAGCGTCCGCCGATGTGGAAATTTCTGCAGTATTAAGCTAAGTCAACAATACCGTCGACTTAAACCCAGCCATCCGTAAACTTGGAACATTTTGCACTGAATTGAAACAAGTTACGTCTTGTTATTACTATCAAGTGCACATGTAGTTTATCATGTATCACAGGAGAAACACCGCGCATGCGCACTATCTGCTAAACCATGAATTCGACGAAGGACCGAGTTGCAATAGATTATTCTAGAGCCGCAGAATTAAAGTCGACATAGTTTTATCTGAATATAATACAGTGTAACTGATCTGGTATAGAATACATTTCATCATCTTCAGTCGCTGAGACTAATTATGTATGTGTTTTTATTTTAATTTATGTCAGGCGCGAGCTATCATAATCCTAGCACATAACATATGCTACCTAATGAAAATGTAATATATATATATATTCGCAATTTGCACTGCCAAGGAAATAAGAATATCGCGATGTTACAGGTACCATGAAGAGCAAAAACAGGTTTGACAAATTTTTGAATTGAATTGTTAATACTAAATCAATAGCAGTTGCTTTGTAGCGACTTGAGTATAAACGTCTGTGATCCTGATGGTTCTGTGTATGCCATGTATGCCTTAGACCAATTTCCTGTAAAACAACTCTACAAACCAATTTCAAATGAAACTGATGATGCTGTGACCACATAGAGCAGCTTGCAATATGTCTGGTGACAGCATGTGCCTTAGGTCAACTTCAAATGAGGCCGACATGCAATGGGACTAGTGACTCTAAGTGCTAAATTGCAATGGGCCTGGTGATTCAATCCGCCAACTTCCAGCGAGCTTTGTGATCCTGCATGTCATAGGCAAACTCCAAATAAGGCTGACAATTCTACAGACAAATATTAATAAGACTAGTGACGTTATGGGCAACGGATGAACGTCAGGAGACCCCATATATATAGCAACAAAGCAGTTTACAACGAGCCTGGTGATTCTTTGTGGATAGAACACCTTCAAACGGGCCAGATGAAACTGTTTGCTAGGGTCCTACATCAAACGGGTGTACGAGCCTTGTATGGCACAGATCAGCTTCCAATGAGCTCGACGATTCTATATGCTATAGACAAAGTTCCTATAAACATGATGTGTATGTGTGCGCCATGGACCAACTTTCATGAGACCACTGATTCTATAGGCTTCCAACATGCCATGGGAGATTTCCTAATGTGCCCAATATTTCTATGTGCCACGTACCAACGTTCAATGATCCTGATGACCCTATGCTTAACTGACCAGTTTCAAAGAGCCTGCTGACGCTTTATTTGTGCCATGCACCAACTTCTAACTATTCCGACGATCCCAATGACTATATGTGCTATGAACCAATCTCCAATGAGCCTGATAAAAACCGTGAAATTGCTCCAATGTGACGCATACAAAAAAAAAACAACGAAAACGTAATGGTATATATACCTTTTCTGTGAGTACGCCCTCTAGTAACATAGTGAGCTCCACTGTCGCAAAACGGTGACAGGCATGCTGCCGTATCGCTTCTGATGCATAAAATAACACGCTGTACAAGTAGCTCAGTGTGGATATTGTTTAGATATACGGTCCGTCACTGTCTTGGTGAGATTTGCTTTATTAGAAATCACAAACTACTAAACAGAAATATATATGGTCTAGGATTTACTTTTACACTCATCATATTCACAATTTTAACATCGCAAAGGAGACTAACCCCAAAACGGCTTGAATGAACGTAATACGACATTTTAATGATTAACAACAAAGATCATGACATTGGTAGCCAAAATGCCTACGTTATTCGTGACATTGGAAATGATATCGTAATTTCATTTTAAATTAAGGCAATCGATCTATTTTTAGTGAAATGGGGTTTTAATTATCTTTGGATTTACGGAGATGAATTTTGGTCTAAGTTCACCATAGCGTACGTGATTTAACCAAGATGTCGGATATAGTCAACACTGCTTGACATCCCATTATTTGAGGTGAATCAACCAACTACGATACGTCTGCAAGACGCCGGCAATCAGTCAGTGTTATTTGGTTAAAAGACAATCCATTTTTGAAAACAACTGGAAAGTCGTTTAATTTAGCATAGCCTACATGGTGATTACACGATGACTGACACGTGAGCCCACTGTGAACCATGGATTATGTATTTAACTTTATTTTATTAGATATAACAAACGTGAACGCTACTATTCTCCTTCTAAATAGAACGCCCAATTATTTGTGTTCGACGGTAATGTCACAAAACCTAAAGCCCCTTTCAATACGTGAACAAGACTGTGTGAAAATCAGCAGACGAATTAATATTACATCCTGAAATATCCAAATTTTGCAATAAAACCTATGTTCATCTACAACATGTTCTGTGACGTAACTTTGTAATATTACCTATGTATATCTACAACATGTTCTGTGACGTAACTTTGTAATATTACCTATGTATATCTACAACATGTCCTGTGACGTAACTTTGCAACAATCCCTGTAGATAGCTACAACATTTTCTGTGACGTAACTTTGCAATACCCCTAGGTAAAACTATTCCATGTCACAAC